TTTTATTTTCTTTGTTTTACATAACTAATATTGATCGTATTTTGCTAGCATTGAATGGTACATAAAGTTAATGTAATATTTTGCTGATTTGCAAAGAAACAATCCTGTTTTGGGATAAAATAGACAAATAACGAAACAAATACAAAAATAATGGGATCAAAATAAGGATCAATTTTAGGATCAAGATCAATATTTGGATTAACTGTAAAATGCCCATATCTTTCAAAAATTACAATAAATTCATTCTTTAATTTCAAAAACATGCTATTTCAAGTCCAGTTTTATCAAGTTAATATTAAATATATAATCTATAAGAATTAACAAAGGATAATATTTGAGTTTTTAGATTTGATCCTGATCTTGATCCTGATCCTAAAATCTTTGTGAACACGGGGCCTGAGGATAAAGGTAGAGCTACGGTTGATCCCTGTAGAGCCCCGGCAAAGCCCAGATCATTTCAAAAGAATAACGACAATTTGCGATGATTGCACTTGTTTGTATTAAAACTCTTCCCATTTCCCTTCTATCCAGTATAGCATAAGGATTTTCCGGAAAATCATCATGAATTACTATTCTGGAACAATATATATTATATTAAATAAAAATTATGTATCAATATTATCATTTTCGGGCGTTTTCAATCCACCGGGGTTCTACCGGGGCTCTGCCTGGATCGTCCTGGGCTCTGCCGGGGCTCTGCCTGGATCGACCGGGGCTCTGCCTGGGTCAACCGGGGCTCTTCTGGCGTCATCCGGGAACGACCGGGGAAGCACCGGCATGAACCGTAGCTTCACCTGGGCTCTGCCTGGATGATCCGGAGCGCATCCTGGGTGGTACGTTGGGAACTACCGTAGTGCTGCCGGGGTAAGTGTGACCGCAACAGTAATTTCACCCCGGATCGTCCCGGATAATCCCGGTAGCTTACCGGGATGGTCATGTGCTCTGCCGGGAGAAAGTGAGACCGCAGCTTTAGTAGTTCATTATCTGTTTTATTTTTCAAAATATTTTCTCCTCTTATCGTCTTTAATAAAAAATTTCCACACTCATATCTACGTTCTCGCAAGGGGTAGGACATAATTGGTAATTGGATTACGATCAGTACTTATGATATGTAGAACTGTCACGATATAAAGTTTGCTTTGTTTGTAAGATTGTGAAACTGCTAAATTATAAATTAACTTTTTATTCTAATGATGTCCAGTGTGTAGATGTTTTTTCATTAGTTTTTATCCTTAGACATTAAGTTCTCCTACTTACAAAAACACTACCGCCAAAACGATCGATAAATTTTCCTCGTTTGAATAAAAGTCGACATACATGTATTAAATGAATATTAAAGAACAACCGATTATAAGTAGTTATTGCAATTATAAATGGTCTCACTTCTATGACACTAGAATGTGTGGATGATGTGGTTTTGTTGAACGGAGAAATACAGGGAAACATGAAAAAAGTTGGAAGCAAAATAAAGTATAACTGTAACAGCGGGCTGAAAGAGCGAGATAACAAGAAAAACGCCGAATGTTTGGCGAATGGTCAGTGGAGCCAGGCAGCAGAATGTATATCAGGTTAGTGCGTCTACAATCATTCTTTTAACCCTGCTTATTATAGAAAAACGGATGGGCCAGCTTATCTAGGTCTGCATTGGTCATTTTGGTAAGAGTCAGTTGCCGCTTGCAAGTTTATGGTAACAATATCGATTCTTTATTAATAATATCAGGCCTCACCGATGACCTTAGCAGCGAATGTTATTGTTAAGTAATTGGCATAACAAAATTGTAACAAAGTTGCTGTATGCAAAAAAGGTCATGGTGATAATTTGCTATCAGCAAAACCTTCTGATTCTCTTTACAAGGAACGTAATAACGGCATCGCAAGCCACAAGCACATGATGGATTTTCCCACTCAAGCTTAAAGTACGTTAGTAAGTGGAGAATAAAACACGGTTTATGTTAAGTTCTGTGCTATTTATGTTATAAACTAGTATATATCCTTGTTATTAACAAAGCTTGCGGTGAAGTACCAGCCATAGGCAATGGTAATATTGTTATTGACACAGTGAACATAAACAAGGCGTTAATAACCTGTGATCTGGGGTACAAGCCCAATCCGTCTAGTACGATCACCTGCGTACAGGGATCCAGCACCTGGGGAGGCCCGACGTGTGAACTTATTGGTACTGTAACTACATCATTTTGTCTTTGCATAAGATCGTCATTTATATAAATATTCATAAAATATATTTTAATAAAAACTAATCAAACCTTTTCACATTGATTGTCAACCTATCAATTTAAATTTAATCGCATTGGCAAGGCTACATAGAACTGATGTTAAAGACATTTCCTTTACGCATAAAACATGTTTTAATATGATCAATAAATTGGCAAACCCTGGAAAAGAAACACTTTGTCTGTTATAGCTTAGGAATGTAGAATTTAAAAAAAATGTTTCTAATAGTATAATATAATTTAAGTTTGATTCAAGGAACCAAGTACATTCATCTGAAAACACATTCGTTTGCAGTGTTTTACATCGGTACAAGTCATGTATTTACACATATGAAAATGTGTTAGCGTTTGCAAGCATATGTGTGATTTCGATTTTTAACTAAACTTTGACTAAGAATAACATGCAAGACGATCACGTTAAATGATGAATCTCCTGTTTTCTGTGTATACATTTATAAAAAAAAGATATAATAACATTACAAAACATTGATAGAAAAATAATCAAACCCATCACCTCAAATATATATATATATATAGACACCTGTAATATCATATTTATATTTTAGCGTGCGGGAGTCTACCGACAATAGCACATGGAGTCGCTACTCTATCTGTACCGGGAGCCAGCCAATACCAGGATACTGCTGTAGTCACGTGTGATGCCTGGTTCCAAACAAGCACTAGTCTAATTACATGTACAGCGTCAGGAAGCTGGACTTCAGCAAGTTGTACTGGTTTGTTTATTTTATCAGGCATGAAAAATGCATTTTATAAATGAAAAAATTTGCATTTATACTGTAACAAAATTATACAAACGAATAAAAGACCCGGGAGCATAACCTCAGATATCTCACAAATTCGTTACACCCTTCATGACATAATACCGCTTTATCAAACCGATACATCACAAAATAAGAAAAATACCTTTTATAAAACCTTTTTACATTACGACATATCCTGTATAACGGAAGTAACATTTCGCTCACGTGCATTCTGCGTATGGCAAAAAAATGATTGTGAAAGAATAATTTCTATCGGTATCAAAGAATTTAATAAATAATTTGATATAATCCAAAGGAAACACGAACAGTTTGGAAACTTGTATTTATATGATAATCCGATGGAAGGTGAATTCATGTATAAATTATTAATTTGCATTTTTCTACATGAAGTCATTTAGGGTCTTTCAAATTTGATTCAAGTGCATTCGTTACTGACACAAGAACCTTCGTTTACAAGCATTACATTAAAACCATCTCTTGCAATTAAGTGTGCTTGAAGCGTCTAATCTGAATATATCTTCGTATAAAAATACTCTGTAAAAACGTGTACTTCATCATAATTTAAGCTAATTTAAGCTTACTAGAAGCGTTACTTCATATCAAGCTATGTCACTTGGAAAACCCCTTAATAATTTAACATGATTTAAAGCGGTATGTCTTGGTACCGTAAACGAGATTTGATATTTAAAAAGATATAGGCAAATATCTTAGATTATGATATTTGATATCAAGATAAGTCTTTCACACATATATCTTATCAGCTTTTAGAATAATTTATGTGAAATGACAAAAAATGTAAAGACTTTACTCATTATAACTGCATAAAATATGATAAACAAGATCAACAAGGAAAGGCGGCGTTCAATGAACGCAACCCCCACATGACCCAGCAACAAGAACCAATGGCAAGGAGCCCAGGGGGACCCCAAACAAAAACAGGACAGGGCAAAGACAGAGCACGGACAGGTTAATCATTAAATGATAATTAATTTGTAACTGATTAGGAATTCAAAGAAAATAAAAATAGGCCCACAAAGGGGAAGGGGACAGGAGACCGGGGGGAGGGGGTGGGGAGTAATCAAAGAAATAAAAACTAGAGGCAATGGGGAAGATACTTACCGTAGACGAGAAAACAACAAGGGACACAAGCAAAAGTGTCACCAAAACAGTATGAAACAACATAAGACATACATCTGAGGAACACAGTGGGGCGCCGCCTTGGAACGGTCAGCAGCATAATAATGACTGCTGGGGAGTTTAAACCGGTTAATGGTGCACCAAACCTCGCTCTTAGCCCCACCATGTTCCTATAAACGAGACAGTGTAAATAAAATGAATCCCCGCCAAGTGAAATTCTAACAGTTGTCATGGTTACAAAAGGTTAAATAAGTAAAACACTAAAATGATCATGTAGAAACATATAAAAGTAAACCCAATGACCATAACAAAAGTACTCAATGTCCTAAAGGAAGACAGAGCAACAAGAAAATCACCTACAAGGGCCAGACGAAGCAAGGCAGAAGACGAACATTAAGACAATTCAGTCCCAAAGGGCTTTACGAACTATCCATCATAGAGTCTCCCACTTGGTCCGTCAGATGCAATCAAAAGAGGAAAGCGTAGTGTCCAACTGTAAAAGGGTTGAACACTAAACATGCAGTATGTCTTAAAATAGTAGGGTCATAACCTCTTTTAATAAAACGTTTAATGATTTTAGTAAAAACAGCAGAAAAAAATTACCATGACCCCAAAATCTTACGAAGTTTGTAAATCACATCGCCATAAAAACCAGGCTGGCTAATCCCTTGTCGCAGAAGAGTTTTTAAATCACTATTGAATTTGGCAATTAAATCAAAGTTACGATTGTAAAATTTAGTAAAATATTTCCGTAATTTATGACAGCAGTGGCCCTGTTTTAGAAGCTTGCTGGTAATGGAAATATTCCGCTCGTTGAAATCCTTTACGTTGCTACAAGCTCTCCGAATCTAATTAACTGAGAAACATAATTATATCCCGTAAGATGTTGCATGGGGTACGTCTCCATCTAAATGCGGATAATTAACTACACAAAAGTCAAAGTCATCTCTGTTATCATAGATTTTCGTGTGAATAGGATTGTTGTTGACAGTAATATGAAGATCCAAAATGATGTTCTAAAATTTCAAGAGTCCGTTTATTAAGTTGTAGTTGATGGGGACAAATATCAGATACCATTTGAACATAATAAGAATTATTTAAATTAAAAATATCATCAATGTATCTGGAAGTATTATTAAATGCGACTATAACATCTTGTTGTTTATCTTCAGAGAGACTCAACATAAAGTCTCTTTCATAGCAGTACAAAAACAAATCGGCGACCAGGGGTGCACAATTAGTACCCATTGGAATTCCTATGATCTGTTTAAATAGGGTATTACCAAACCTGACATAAATGTTGTCTAAAAGAAAAGAGAGTGCTCTACAAACTTCGTCACAGGTCCACATAGTATAATGTTTTACAATACCGTTAGTAAAAAAAGCTTATATAAGATTTTGTATGTTATAAAAGTCAAGGTAACCTGAAACTAAATAAATGACCTTGTACATGTATTATCATGTGTAAACCTTTTCAGAATTATATACTCATGTACTTCGTGGCAAGTATTTCCTTTCAATATTTTTGTTGAACTGTATACATATTCGGGAAAGCAAACTCATACATTTCTCAGATACTTATTCACGGAGCTGGACTACATATGTTTTTGAATCTCTGATATATTTTCGTTATATTATTAGAAGAATTGTCAATAAATAAATATCGACATTTTTACAACGATTATCTCTGTGATTTTAAAGTTTGGCCGGGTCGCAAGTGGGAAGTATGAAAACAATTGTTATTATCATCTTCATCGAAATCTTTTGGCAACCTTCGCCACAAAGCTATATAAAATAGATAAAATGAATCCTTCAAGAACGGCCAAACGGCAAAAATTGAAAAATGTTAAAGGATCGGTTTGTTTGGCCTGTTCATATCTTTGTTTGTTTGGGTTTTTTTGATAAAAGGACTTGCTGTTTAACATTATCAAATACTTTGTTCTACTAGCTTACGTAGAAGTATCTATATATTTTTACATATATCACAGAGCTGTACAACTGTATTATAGGTCTTCGAAGTAAGGATTTTTGCTGTACGCAGTTTGCGCATGCGCGAGAAAATATTTCATCCAGTTGATTTTATATTAACGACGCGCATCTTTAAAAGGTTTGTTGAATTGCATGCGATCAACTTTATACTATAGTGACGACTCATATATATGCCAGAAAGACAAACTAAATTAATATAAATAGCTAAATACATGAGAATTATGATGCTTTCACGCCAGATTTATATTTTACAGATGTTATGTGCTACCCAGGTACACCTTGGGAGTATCAAGGACAAGTAAGTGTTACTGTCTCCGGTAGAACGTGTCAACGATGGGATACAAATTTTCCGCACTATGTATGGGAAAAAAATCTTCAATATTATCCAGAGAATACATTGTCAGAGGCCAGCAATTATTGTAGAAATCCGGAATCATCATCAAACAATCCATGGTGTTACACAACAGATCCATTTAAAAAATGGGAATATTGTGCTGTAGTTCCTTGTTAAATTAATTATACGTGGTCTTAAAAAGCACGTGCAGCCTCAGAAATGATAACGTTTTTCTTTCTTCTGAGAAAAAAGAAATTAAATGGTTTACAATTTTTAGTACTAGATTAAGACCCTATTTGATGATTAAATGCTAAAAGAAGAATTACATGTGAAATAAATTATTCGTCATAAAAGTATTTTATCTTTCTGTATGATCACTAAATTTATATAATTGTTAATAGTCAAAAACAGCTTTATTTACAACTGGTACCATTTCGAAAATGTAACAGGAGATCATAAACAGTGAGCTTTAGAGAAGAAATACAAAAATGTCATAGGTTGGCTTGATTGGCATTTTAATATTTTATGCTGGCTTTTCCAAATGATCCAAACAGGTATATATTTCATGTTTCACTTTGTTTTATCATTTCATTTTAATTCCAGTATGACACTATTCAATTTAATTACAAAATAAAGTAGACCTACTATGCGAAAATTGACAATGACATAACAAGTTAAGGTTAACACAGATTTATAAATCACATCATCATAGAATCTTACATCAGAAACACTTTGTCAAATCAACGATTTAGTTTCAATGATTTTGATATATTAAATGTGGAAACCTATGTGTTTTGTCCTCTTAACATTGAAAAATGTCTGATTGCTCAACATTTCATTTTATCGCTTAGACAATTATTTTACTTCCAACCCAGCCTGCAACATTTTACAATTTTGCCTTGTTGGGCTTTCTTTAAGGATTCTGTTTTTCTCTATTTCATTTCCATATTGAAACGCCTATATTTAGTCTGCTGTCATGATTACGTACAATTTAAATTAATCCTATTAGAACAATCCATCTAAGGGATTGCAATTATATCAAGATACAAAGTATTGAGCTGCCAGCGGTGAAGAGCCTGGTCAAACTGCACACATATGCACGCTGTTCTGGTTCTTTGCTGGTAGCAAAGCTTAACACTCAGTTTCAGCTAGTGAAGGTACAGACTCAATCAAAGCGAGTCTGCCATTTTCATGTAATTTTGCTTTTTTAATGCTTCCGAGGGATCACCTTTTTCTAGATGTGAAGATGATTTATTTTAAATGAGATTTAAGATAATTCACAATAAATAAACGGACAAGATCGAATGTCGGGTTTGAAAATGCTTGGTTTTGAAACTTATGACACTATTAAATGTATTATGGGTTATTGGTGTTTTTCCCTTTTCACAAAAGAATTGCATACCACAGGACATATATCGTAATTGTTAAATAATTGTAATACAAGAACGTTGAAGTTGTCTTCCCTCAGCGGTATTGTGTTAGATGAATTATTTTATACTATTTATATTTTATACACAAGTATATTCATGATTGTAGTAATGGACGTATTGTAAATTACTAACATTTACAAGTTTTATATGTTTAATGTTAACAAAGATTTCTTATCATATCTTTAAAATTATTTTTATTTTAAACAGAGAGTTTCAGCTAAAGTTTACCAATTTAGAATAGAAAAATTGTATTAGCAAAACATCAGGGACACTTAAATATAAATTTATCTTAGTCCAGTTTGATCAACGGTCATTTTTTATTTTCTTTTACAATTGTGGTAAACATGTAGCATGCAGGATCTTTACACAGCAATAAAAGGCTTAAACTAAGGAAAATGACAGCAAGAGGCCCGCGTAAAATAGTCGCTTTTTGGACCGGCGATGATCTTTCTGTATGTAAATTGTATAAATTTTCTCTAGCCTACCGTTCAATCACCATCTGACTGATTCCGTTGCGGATTCGATTTTCCAGAAGTTTTGATACTCTCATGCGCAGTAACGATAAGGTTTACAATTAGCTGCTCAGGGAGCGATCTTCACTTCACGGAATGTGAATAATTTATGATCCTACATGATTGTATGACATACTCGCCATGCTTATTAGGTTTCCATAATATACTATAGAAATATAAAAAATGTGTCAATATAGAATAAATTTTTAAAATAAAAGAAGGCTAGTTTGACTATTAATCTGCAAACGGTTTTTATTTAACTTATTTGGAACCGTCTATTTACACTTTTGGGGATCTGAAAAATGAAAATTGGAAGTAAGTAAATCGATTTAAAATGCAGATAAAACTACACCTATCAGCACATTGACCTTGCTCGATGGTAAATGCTCATTACTTTTAGTTCCACCTGGGTACGATTCAAGAAAACATATCCTTACTGATAAGCAGTTAACATGCAACCAAAATAAGTAATGTATGCAGGATAAGATCTAGGTATAGAAAAGGTCTAGAATACTCTAAAACACATATTTGAACAAACGATGGTTGCGTGCGTGCTAGCATTGTGTTTAAGTGTTGCATTTCTGTCTTTTTGCAGATGGCTCTTCTTAAAGCGTCAGATCAAATACATGTATATGTTGTTCTAAGCCATATCTTTGTACAGCATTCTTGCTGGCTTTAATCCTTACCCTGTTGGAATAGAAGGTGATTAGTCAGTTGCCAACAGTATAGACAGACCCATGTAGACCAGGCTATATTTTGCTGGTAGGTCACTTTTTTAATCCCTTAGACGGACTACTAAAAATCGTAGGCAAAACAAAATGTTTTGTCCCAAAACATTGAGGAAAATGAATGATCTCCAGAAGGTAATGAAAACAACAATATAAATAAAACTTACACTGATATAATATTAAAATTTCAGACTCGGTTTGATTAAGTCTGTTATGACAGATAATGTAAAAGGGAAAAATCTCTCAAGCCAAATAACACTTGCTTTAGCGATACTAGGTATCAACACCAAGATGCTGAAATAATTGATACCGAGGTGACATTTACAGCTGCCGCACGACAGTTGACATTTGCTGTTAAGAAGTTAGAAAATCTTGGAAAAAGGACGATATCTCAGAAGCAATGAAAACAACAATATGGTGCAACAATATGGTGCAAGAGACTATGTATAACAACTCAGATTTACAGATAACAACAAGCAAACAAAAGACAACATAGCACCCGATTCCCAACAGGCATATAACTTAGACCACCATAAGCAAAGTAAGAGATGCCTCTGTTTGAGTCCAATACCTCACCTCGTATATTTAGGAACATTTCAAACAATAAATTGAGATAATTTAATACCTTATAAACATTCTTGACATCAGTGAAACATTTTACACTTTATGTCATATATATTTTATGGACAGTAGTTCATACTTTGTTAAATATCACAGAACCTACATTGACTGCAATAAAAATTGCAAATGAGAATATTTGTTACACCAGTGGATGCTTCCCAATGATGGCTTGACTGACTGACTGCCTCACGCACGCACGAACGCACCCACCAACGCACGCACCATCTCACCAACTCACTCACTGACTCACTCACTCACCAACTCAGCTTTTTTATAGCGCATTTTATTTTGTTTAATGGTGAAAAGTGATGTCTTAAAGAATAATGGAAAATTGTAAAAAATATCAGAAGTTTATCATAAAAACTAAGAATCATTCAAACATTCGTGCAAGTTTAAATTTTATAAGGAAATTATGCAGGAAAGAAAATATAAAGAATTGATAAGCTGTAGCCATTTCATTTTTAATTATGACTGGCTGCTCACATTGACCCGGTATAGTTGTTGTTAAAAATATGGATTATAGATTATTTTAATAGTATATTCATAGGTTGACGGAACGGACTTCAGAATCAGTTTGTATAGTCTTCGCAACGCAGTTATCCTAACTTTAAATCACTCTGTTGTATACCAGACAAGTGTGATATTTTAAAATGAAACAAGTATTTCATTTCTTGTTAATTTTGTATTTTGTTTCATTTCTGAAACACGTGCATTCGTTTGTCTTCACTAATGAAAAAGGTGTAAAATTTAATTATGATATAAACTTCAAATTAAAATGTCATGAGATTAAAGATGTGGTTTTAGTTCTGAAAGGTGTGTCATTACCTAGATGTGTGGAAGAATGCGGACTACGTCAACACTGTGCGTCTCTCAATTATAAAAGACACGAGCATGTCTGTGAACTTTTTTCTTCCGCTGATGAAGGGAATGTATATATTCAAGGATGTTTATTCATTCCTGCATCGGACATAACGATCAAACAGGTAATATCTTTTACATTTCCTCAACATGTTTCTTTTTATTTTTGTGGCAGAAATTTTACAGAATCAACCAATGCCTCCATTGTATTTTGATACAGTCATCATCATACCATTTTCTGATCGGAAGTTATCGTAGATTTCATACAAAGTAATCTTTTGACAAATCAAAAACTAGAGTGAGTTTGATTTTCTCTGCTGCTTATTTCTAGACAGAGAATGAATTTAGACACATTAGAATGTTGCATAATAATCATTTTGTCCCATCTAAATATTTGTTATGTTTTGAATTTATGTTAAAATTTCTTTTAAAGAGTTTTGTTTTCCAAAGGCTCGAACATTCTTTATAAATTTTAATTTAAATATTCCTTATAAACGATAGAAAATAAACAAATAAACAACAGCTCTTTGACATTGTTCATGATTTAAAAAAACAACAACAAAAAATCAACAACAGCAGCAGCAGCAACAACAACAACCACTTCAACAAAACAACAACGACAACAACAACCAAAACGTGTGGTTAAAGATTAAGATGGCCTGCAATAAGTGAGAACATGATATGTAAGTGGACCGATTTTAATTTGACGTTTTATCTTAAATCAATTTTTTTTTATTCACAAATATTAAAAATCCGCTTTTTTCGACAAACCTTTTCTCGATATGCTCGAAGTTTTGTCTAGACGAAATGTATCTTCTTGTCTTTTGTAAAACATTCGTCTTATGGAAAAAAAAATCCTCTTAGTACAAAAATCAAACATTTAGAGAAAAGTGTCTAAGTATGACAAAGAAATGTTCTTGTCTTTGTGAAAAAAACAACAATTAATTAATTTGTGTTAAAAACATCTTATCAAATCGAACAAAAATCAGTCGTCTAACACCTCATGGTCGCACTAAATAGAGGCTCTTTAACGTTTCCGTATGTTTCAAATATACTTTTGTTTGATACATTTTTTATGACAGACAATTTGTCTTTGTCGTCTTTTGATAATCTTTTAAATATTTAAACATTAAACAAATACATTGAAGTTAACCATTGTTCTTTATTTTTCCATAAATGGCTGTTTTGATTGTGCACTTCTAATGTTAAACTTTTGAAATATCTTCCTCTGGATAAAAAGAAGGATTTCACGTGATGCAAAAAAGATACGCCTTTGTGTCGGAATCAAAGACATGTATTTGAATAGATTGTGCTTACTTCGGCTCTTCCGATCAATTTGTATTATTTATGTGTCATGGTCAAATTTGTTCATCAGTATTATTATTAGCATCATAGATATAATACCTCAAATTTACTTTGGTAAAGACTCGTCGGAGAGAAGTCATTTAGTATAAGCAACTGCCATTTTATGTCCTTTTTGTCCAATTTTATTAAAACAAAAGTTTTCTTGGTATGAGTTAATTTGTCATTTGTATTGTTATTACCTGTATACTACTTGACATTTTCCATTTTTCTTTTATGTTTGTAGTTGTAATATAATTTTATTTCTAATTTTCCTGTGATCATGTGTTAATGGATAGCCTTGCCCAATTATCTTAGTATTTTCATTAGTTTAGTATATTTAATACTAATTTATTTTAGTTCGATTGTGTTGGAAGATCAAATTAAAGTTTATTGAAACACTCTCGAAATCGTTCATGGAACCAACCAATACCAAGCAATGAGTGTGATATTTCTTTCTCAAAGAAACAACAGCTTGCCCTTGACGGGATTTGAAGCCACGCGATCAGCAATACCACACCGCTTAGTAGGTCTCATACCAAAAGTCAATAGATATTAATTCTAAGTGCATTGTCGTAGAATAATTAGCGCACGGTTTGAGTTCAAATGCGTAGTAATATAATCCCGAAGACCGATAGGCATTGAGTGATCAATTACAAAGCATTTGAACGAAAAACGTGCATTATTGTACTATAATGCACGAAGAATTAATATCTATTTCCATTCAAACACGGCAAGAAAAAAAAAAGATTATAATTATATTGTTGGACTATATGTTTGGTGGTTCAATTTGTTTTCGCCTCAGAGTTTCCAATAGAAACGTTCTTTAAAGGTTGTTCCAGTGGGATGAAAAAACTGTCGTTAAATCTACCTAGTGTAGAAACATTTTGAGAAAAGCGAATTTTGAAAAAATTTTTATAAAATTGATAATTGATAAAACTTTGTTTCTTTCTTTTCACTCTATATTTTTCAAGCAAAAACAAAGTATTAATAGTGAAACAAATGTGAAATTTAACTGGTTTGCGACAATGAAATAGCGTTTTTGATTTGTTTTGCACGTGAGGTTCCAGCTTCCAGCCTTCTTTGTCTATTAGGAAAATTTCCGATATTGTTAGAATGTTGAACATTACATACATGTATAGTTAAGAAATTGACAAGGTATCTATTGAAAGGGTTGTTATAGTTGAATCTTGATCTCATACTCGTGCACCTTATCATCATAAACTCCACTCAGTCAAATACATGTTCAAGATCAAGGTAGTCTTACAATAACCCTAAACATTATATCGGCAAATGCTTGAATAACACAGATGAAAGTAGTTAACTATGTTGTTTTGTTTCAACCTATGTAATGCAACATCTTTAATAAAATCATGATAATATTATATAATTATTTTTTCAACATTTTTGTTCTTTTCAGAAAACCTATGTTTGCTTTTATGGTTTGCTTGGTACAATACAGCGTAAAAGAACGTCACTTTTATAACGCTGTATTGAAGTCGTAACCATGTAACTATGTAAACATGTAATAAAATTTTAACTAATATTGTTCTAGTTTAATCTTGGCTTTAGCTTGCCAATAAGCTGTAGCATGTGCCATATATAAAAAGAGCGCCGATGCTTAAACAACGTTAAATTTTTTATCATCACAATAAAAGTTAATGTTTTATGGTTCTGTGCCTGCTAATTACTTATTGATAGGTTCACCTAACAATCCCAATCAATAGTTTTTTACACTCTCAATGTAATAAATACATTATAAAAAATAATGTCTCCTTGTCTAATACCAAACATGTATGAATAATTGGGGATTTTTTTTTATCCTATTGGTATAAAGATAGATAGATTTTTTAGAAAAGCAAGTGGGAATCTTGCACAACACGACAAAAATGAATACGCTTCCGGCTGAGTTTTATTATATCTGTTGGGGACAGTTATAAGCGCAAGCTACCATCCAAATACCCTAGCTTAAGAAAACCACTTGCTCTAAGCAGTTTCATTTAAAATGCAGCAAATGTTTCTGCATCATCTGTACTGTAGTCGTCCTTGTGTTTACTCATATGGCAAAAACTAAGAAGAAAAACATCATCAATTTACCGGAAATAGTAACTTAATCAATTTAAATGTATCTTTCAATCGTTCCAGACTTTATCATACTGACCATGGGATAGGATTTTGTGTCCGCTTTCGATACATGCAAAGAAGTCACGTTTATAGCAAATCAACTGCCGTCATACATGAAATAATAATAATAGAAGTAAAGAAAAGATTATAAGATTGTTTATAAATATTTTGTATCAGCTCAGTCATTCCCTCTTTATGCCCCCGCCATAAAATGGCTGGGGCATATAGTGCTACCCTGTTCTGTCCTTCCGTTATTCCGTCCTTCCATCATTCTGTCATTGCGTCATCAACAATTTCCGTTAATGATCTTAGTAACGGTTGCACACATTCAACTCAAATTTGACATATGGATATATCATGAGAAAATACAGGTCAGCTTCGAATTTGGTCATGGTTTGATGACCTTTGATAGAGTTATGCCCCTTGATAAAATTTTCAGTTTCCGTTCATTATCTCCTCAACAGTTGTACACATTCAACTCAAATTTAACATATGAATACGTTAAAAAAATGCGCAGGTCAGATTCCAATTTTGTCATGGTTCAATGAATTTTGGCAGAGTTATGCCCATTTCACTTTGAAAATAATATAAAATTTTCAGTTTCCGTTCATCATCTTCCTAACAATGTACACATTCAACTCAAATTTGACATATGGATACTTCAAAAATGCGCAGGTTAAGTTCGAATTTGGTCATGGTTCAATGAATTTTGGCAGAGTTATGCCCATTTCACTTTAAAAATGAAATTTTCAGTTTCCGTTCATTATCTCCCCAACAGCTGTACACATTCTACCCAAATTTGACATATAAATACATCAAAGGAATGCGCAGGTGGAGTTTGAATTTGGTCATGAGTTTTGGCTGAGTAATGCCCCTTTTACCTTGAAAAAAGGAAATTATCAGTTTCCTTTCATTATCTCCCCATCAGTTGTACATATTCAACTCAAATTCAACATGTATGGACATGTCATAAGAATACACTGGTCAAGTTCGAATTTGGTCATGGTTTGATGATAGCTGACAGAGCTATCCCTCTTGAACTTTGAAAAAATAAAAAAAAAATAGTTTTCGTTCCCAATGGTTGTACACATTCCACTCAAATTTGACATAAAGATACATTTTAGGAATAAGCAGTTCAAGTTTTAATTTGGTTATGGTTCAATGATAAAGTTAATTTTTCTTGAATGTTGGAAAAATTTTGAATTTTCAGTTTAAGCACTCATACTTTTGTAGAAGTGTATGTAGTCACTATTTTGACTACAAATATGCAATATGCAATTACTGAAGAGTTTCAGTTCCTTGAACTTTGTATAAAAATTGTTTGTGTTAACATTGAATAGTTTAAAGGGCTTTGAACTTAAAATGAAAAACAAATTGTGCAAACAAATTTGGAAGTAAATATTATAACATCTAAAATTTAAGCTGCATGCGGGGGCGTCCGTGGCGTGACGACACATTTCTAGTTTCTTTGTCGTTTTGTTTTTCTTTCAGTAAATCATTTTCAAAAGAAAGTTACATATTCTTATTGTCTTTGTTTTTAGGATCCTTGTGCAAACCAAGACTGCTCAAATGAACGAACTTGTGATACTTCCACAGAGACATGCATGCACAAAGGTAAGTTCCAAATATTTAGCTAGAACACACACAACGGATATTTTTAAGGGTTTTCTAGGAAACACTTTCTTCATAAAGTATACCAGTTGAAGGTATTAACGACAATACACATTTTTGTGAGATATTTGACAATACTTACATCTTATTTAAGGAGTTATGGTGTAGAATCTATTGAAAGACTGAACAAGTTCATTTACTACATATCTTTTTCTTATATATTACGTGGATGTTTTTCATTCCTGTGACTGTATTTTATTAGAACCGATTACCACTGAACATTCAGTGCAGCCAAATTTGACTTGGAACATACTAAGTATTTTTCAGTCTGGAATGATTTAAAGATTTTTTTTCTTTTATCTTCTTTTAGAACAACTCTTTTTTCTTTAAAGTTTTCCTACCATTTTTTGGCATGCAATCTTGACAACGTACCCACAATGGGTTTGAAATTATTTGGAATAGATAATCTCTATAAGCAGGTAAAAGTGCTTTATTACAAGGTTGCAATAGTGTTTTATTTAACGCTGTGAAAAATATCAAACGTCTGTGTACATTACGACTGCACCATCAATAACTATGAAATTACTCAAGTAATGCCAATAATATTGAAATATAAAAATCAATTGAAGTTTCAAATGTCATTTTATGAAGTTCGTTTCGTTCACTCCTTTTCAAAAGATCCTCATAATTAGCTGAAAATGTTTAGCGATTAAACTGGTACTAGTTGACAGGATAGTGATAAAGGTTAGTCATGTTAGTCGTAAATAGCTTTTTTTGCTCTAATGGTGAATTAACAGTGTAATTTCAATCATTAGTCTTTTGGTATTTTTGTCTTTCTTACAAACAAATTATACGGTATAATTGTTCCAATATATGCTTCATATTTTAATTAACGTTTCCATGTTTAATGACTGTTTGAGGACAATTGATTTCTACTAGTAGTTTCATTACAATTACAAATTGTTTCATTTATATGAAACCGGAATGTATGGATGATGTGGTTTTGTTGAACGGAGAAATTCTGGGAAACATGAAACTGTTTGACTGTTTGAGGACAATTGATTTCTAACAGTTTCATAACAATTACAAATTATTCATGTTTATGACACCAGAATGTGTGGATGATGTGGTTTTGTTGAACGGAGAAATTCTTGGAAATATGAAACAAGTTGGCGGAAAGATAAAATATATTTGTAAAAGTGGACTGAATGAACGAGATAACAAGGAAAACGCTGAATGTTTGGCGAATGGTCAGTGGAGCCAAACAGCAGAATGTGTATCAGGTAACAGCATCTAAAACAGAGTAAAAGTATAAAACATCAATTCCTAATTAAAGCAGCTTAATTGAAGCAGCTCCACTGTGTTCCAAAAGTCAAAAATAATAGATCAACTGGGGCACTTAAAACGGACACATAGTATCGCAATATATTCAAAATTAAATTAAAAAAAAAAAACGATATTTTATTAGATTCTTTATCCATTTCTATGTTTACTTAGTAAAAGAGCTTTGAACCCCGTAAAGTAGTTAATTCGTGATATGTTAATAATATGTAATTTATTTATCGTTATTAACAAAGCTTGCGGCGAGGTACCAACCATAGGCAATGGTAATATTATCATAGACACAGTGGACATAAACAAGGCGTTAATTACCTGTGATCCGGGGTACCAGGCGAATCCGTCTAGTACGATCTTCTGTGTACAGGGATCCAGCACCTGGGGAGGCCCGTCGTGTAAACCTATTGGTACTGTAACTACCTCCTGTTTTATCTGTTTACAATCGTCATTTATATAAAGAGCTTCATTTTAATAAAAAAAATCAAACATCCCCATCAATTAAAAATGTTTCACACAGACAGAGCTACATGTGATTCATGATAAAGACATTTCCTTTTCTCGAAAACATGTTTTAATATGATCAATAAGTTTGCTAATTTTGGAAAAGAAACACTTTTAATATTACATATTTGTTCTCTTTCTAGTGATTATTGATAAAACGTTAAACAATTACTTAAGTATTTAACAAACAAACTGTACTTATATATCTATACGCGCGGTGCGTGTCACTTCCTGGTACTATTTCCGTGTCTATTTCAGTTTGTGGCAATCCTGATCCAATAAGCAATGGTAACATTGCACTCACTGTGCCTGGCAGCTATACTTATCTAGATACAGCAGACGTGACTTGCTCATCCGGGTTCCAGGCAAATGTGAATTTAGTAACTTGTAAAATTGACGGGGACTGGGAAACAGCAAGTTGTGACCGTATATGTAAGCAAATGCTTTCGTATTTGTAGATTTTTATGTAAACAAAAATGTCCTTGTGTTTTTAAAATCATGGTGAGAAAACATTGATTATACAATGCAATGGGTACAACAAAAATACGTATATTTAGTCGTGTTGTCAAAACCTGTACAAATTTAGATATATGTTAGAGATTAGGTATGTAAACTAAGATATGTTATTGATGATGCAATTAAAGTTTGATTCATGGAACAAAAGAAATCATTTGAAAACAAAGTTTTACTTAAAAGTGTGTTTGTATGAACATGTGTAATGGTGTGCAAGCATGCCTGTGCCCGATTTTAAACAATCTTGATTAAAATAATAATAATCGATATTTTTTAAAAAGTGTGGTGGGAATAATCATTATATGTTGACAGGGGGGCCGTGACGAAATGGGTTTAAGGGCGTTTTACTTAAAAACGCTCGCCCCTCACCCCTGTGGGTTCGAATTCCCAAAGGACTTGGGGTTTCTTTCATGTGAGGAAAACTATCCAGCTTTGGGTTACGGAACGCGGTGGTTTACTCGGGGCCTTCGTGCCCGAAATAATGCAGGAAAAGGGTCCGAGCTCTCCCTCCCGAAAGCTGGAACGTTGCGATATGACCTAAACTGTGTCGATGTGACGTAAAACCCAAAACAAACAAACCAAAAAAAAATGTCGACAATGAGTTTTAGTGCGATATTTAATGTTCAAAATTAGTAAGTTTCAAATATACCCAATCTAATTTCTTCCATTTCAAATCAATATCATGAATATGGATAAACATTTTAGTCATTAAATATTTATCTAAAGCTACAATGTATGTTTAGTTTTAAAAGTTATTTACCTTACACTTGTGTTCTATGACATATTTATGTTTTAAAGCATGCGGGAGTCTACCGACTATAACACATGGAGTCGCTACTCTATCTGTACCGGGAGCCAGCCAATACCAGGATACTGCTGAAGTCACGTGTGATGCCTGGTTCCAAACAAGCACTAGTCCAATAACATGTACAGCGTCTGGAAGCTGGACTTCAGCAAGTTGTACAGGTTTGTTTATTTTTTAGCCTTGAAAAAAATGACATACAGAATAGATGATAAATAGTGAAAAGATTTTGTACATTTACTGTCTCATTAAAGAATTGAGCAAAGCAACCGCTTTTAGTTTGTTTTACTTGGTTTTGCGGCACAGCAACACAATTTAGGTCGTATGTCTCGAAAATATTATTTTGGCTTAACGCGGGTATTACAAACTTAATACCAAGGGTAAAAACCAGCACTTCACCAGCAGGAGGTAAGAGATTCATAGAATCCAGTAATTCGAACCCATTGGGTCACTCGCGGACAAACGGTGGCCTCACTTTTAATGACTCAACACTTCCAAAAGGCATCCCCTCAAAGAAACGACCTAATCAATGCATAATGTAAAATAGAACATATAAAAACACTCTTTTAAGACGTGTCTTACATATTCGTTTCCCTCAAATATCAAATTATAACCTATATGTGAAATGCTCATTGTGTAATTTTCTGTAATGTAACTATTCATTTTATGTTATTTGCTATGGTTTCAATACGATATTGACATCAATAGAAATATACCTACAAACATTCGAATATAAATGTTTTCCAGATAGTTAAAAATCCTGTAACACAATTTTTCATGGATTTATTTCATAAATATGATGCTCAAATTAAGATTTGTCAATATTGTAAGTTCAAATAAGCATTATTTATAAAGATATTACTCAATTGAACACTTCATGTAAATAAAGGGCGGCAATAAGAAATTTATTTTCTAAGTCAAATTTTCCAATAAGAGATGAATGCATGTTATTTATTGATTAATTATATTGTGCACAAATATTTGCAGTACACATTTTACATATTCTTTGATGTTTGAAAATTGTTTTATTTGCATAATTATATACATATATAATTTTTTGAAGTGTGGTATACACACAGTAACAATATCAATCACAAAACATACAGGATCTTTAAGCCTTTATATAAGTATTTTGTGAAAACTGGTAAATTCAAGCAGTTTACATTACATTGTAATTTAAATATCTTATTGAAGAAATGTTCACACAAAAAAATCATACAAATAAATGATCTATTTTTTTTTAAATTTAAACATAGATTCAAGATATTTCGGAGTTTGATTTCAAGTTTGATTCAAAGCTTTCATAAGAATCGAAATTAAAGAAATATCTGAGCTTTTCAATGTTACCACATTAGATTTACATTTTACAGATGTTATGTGCTACCCAGGTACACCTTGGGAATATCAAGGACAAGTAAGTGTTACGGTCTCCGGTAGAACATGTCAACGATGGGATACAAATACACCGCATCAAGTATTGGAAACAAATCTTCAATATTATCCAGAGAATACACTGTCAGAGGCCAGCAATTATTGTAGAAATCCGGAAGCAGGATCATACAATCCATGGTGTTACACAACAGATCCATCGAAAGAATGGGAATATTGTGCTGTGGTTCCATGTTAAATCAATTATACGTGTTCTTAAAAAAAGCACACGAAGCCTCAGAAATGATAATGTTTTTCCTTCTTCTGAGGAAAGGGAAAATAAATGGTTTACAATTTTATACTAGATATAGAACTAGTTTGATGATTAAACGCTTAAAAAAAGTATTTCATGTGAAATAAATTATTGTCATAAAAGTATTTTACCGTTCTGTATGATCACTAAATTTCTATAATTGTTAATAGCCAAAAACAGCTTTATTTACCACTGGTACCATTTTGAAAATGCAACAGGACATCACAAACAGAAAGCTTTAGAAAATAAATACAAAATATGTCATGGGGTGTGCTAGATTGGCATTTTAATGTTTTATGCTGGCTTTTCCAAATGATCCAAACAGGTATATATTTCATGTTTCAGTTTGTTTTATCATTTCATTTTAATTCCAGTATGACACTATTCAATTTAATTACAAAATAAAGTATACCTACTATGCGAAATTTGACAATTACATAGCAAGTTAAGGTTATTGATATTTTATACACAAGTATATTGATGATTGTAGTAATGGACGTATTGTAAATTACTAACATGTACAAGTTTTCTATGTTTTATGTTAACAAAGACTACTTATTATATCTTTAAAATTATTTTTATTTTAAACAGAGAGTTTCAGCTTTACCAATTTAGAATAGAAAAAATGTATACGCAAAACATCAGGGACATTAAAACAGGTATATTACTCTGTCCAATTTGATCAACGTTCATTTTGTATGACCTTTTACAATTGTGGTAAACATGTAATATACAGGATCTTTACACAGAAATAAAAGGCTTTTACAATGACAGCAAGAGGACCGCGTAAAATAGTCGCTTTTTGGACCGGCGATTTGTTCTTTCTGTATGTAAATTGTATAAATTTTCTCTAGCCAACCGTTCAATCGCCATTTGTCTGATTCTGTTGCGGATTCGATTTTCCACAACTAACGATAATCTCGTGCGCATCGGTTTAATGTTTTACTGTTGTAAGGGTAGTGTTTACAATCAGCTGCTTAGGGAGCGACCTCCACTTTAAGGAATGTGAATAATTCATGATCCTACATAATTGCATGAGATACTCGCCATGCTTATTAGGTTTCCATAATATACTATAGAAATATAAAAAATGTGTCAATATAGAATAAATTTTCAAAATAAAAGAAGGCTAGCTTGACTATTAATCTGCAAACGGTTTTTATTTAACTTATTTGGAACCGTCTATTTACACTTTTGGGGATCTGAAAAATGAAAATTGGAAGTAAGTAAATCGATTTAAAATGCAGATAAAACTACACCTATCTGCACATTGACCTTGCCCGATGGTAAATGCTCATTACTTTTAGCTCCATCTTGGTACGATTCAAGAAAACATATCCTTACTGATTAGCAGTTAACATGCAACCAAAATAAGTAATGTATGCAAGATAAGATCTAGGTATAGAAATGGTCTAGAATAATCTAAAACACATATTTGAACAAACGGTTGTTGCGTGCGTGCGTGCATTGTGTTTATGTGTTTCACTTCTGTCTTTGAGCAGATTGCTCTTCTAAAAGCGTCAGACAAATACATATATAAGTTGTTCTAAGCCATATCTATGTACAGCATTCTTGCTGACTTTAATTCTTATCCTGTTGGAACAGAAGTTGATTAGTCAGTTGCCACCAGTATAGACAAACCCATGTAGACCAGGATATATTTTGCTGGTAGGTCACTTTTTTAATCCCTTAGACGGACTACTAAAAATCGTAGGCATAGCAAAATGTTTTGTCCCAAAACATTGAGGGATTTGGGTGATCTCCAGAAGGTAATGAAAACAACAATATAAAATAAAACTTACACTGATATAATATTAAAATTTCAGACTCGGTTTGATTAAGTCTGTTATGAGAGATAATGTAAATGGGCAATATCTCTCAAACCAAGGGGACGATCGCGGAAACATTTTTCACTCACTCACTCACTCACTCACTCACTCACTCACCAACTCACCAACTCACTCACTCACTCACCAACTCACTCACTCACTCACTCACTCACTTACTCCCTCAACTCACACACTCAATCATTCACTCAATCACTTATTCACTCACTCATTCACTCACTCACACAATCAATCAATCGTTTACTTCGTAAAAAAGATATTTAAATGAATGATCACAGAACATAACATCTACTTATTAAAATATGTAAGGACAAAAAGTCAAGCTATAATGAAAGCATAAATAATTTAACACCATTAAACTATATCAATGTATTGAAAAATTAATAATAAAACATTGAACGTAGAAAAACAACAATAAATGAACGTTCACAGAAATTAATATCTACAATTTACAGTATTAAAGCGATAGTAAGGCCAACGGAAACGCTAAAGGGTCTTCAATGAGTGAGATCATGTGAAAGTCGACTTTATTTAATTTGAATTAATTGAATAAGATGTTTAAACACAAAACAATTCATTTTATTCTCAAAGAAGAGAAAAACCGTGTTTTTCTCGCTATGCTTGAAGTTTTGTTCAAAGCCTTTGTAAAACTTTTGACTTTTTGAAAGAAATTCGCCTAGACAAAATACTTAAGCATTTTGAGAAAAGTGACAAAGATGGTCTAGTTTTTTGAATAAAATGAAGTGATTTGTGTTGAAACATCTAATCAATTCGAACAAAAATCAGTCGTCTTACACCTCATGATCGCACCAAATTGAGGCTCAGGCCACATACTTAACACCTATGAATAAGTAAATATACATTGTACTTTTTTAGCAAATGATGCAAACTACAATAGAAAAATAGCATCGGCAAATTAGAGTAGATGAGAAGCGCAAGCGATATTATATATTTGAAACCAATAACGGTAAAAATATATAATCGATTTACGTGCAAATCCGAGTAATAAAGCTGGGTCGCAACAGGTAAAGTTTTTTATAGCGCATTTTATCTTCATTAATGGTGAAAGTGATGTCTTAAAGAATGGTGGAAAATTGTAAAAAAAATCAGAAGTATATCATAAAAAAACTAAGAATCATTCAAACGTTCGGTCAAATTTTATAAGGATATTATGCAGCATAGAAACTACATGCAAAGAATTGTCAGACTGTTTTCATTGTTAATTATGACTTGCTGCTCACATTGAGCCCTTCCGGTATAGTTGCTGTTAAAAATATTGATTATAGATTATTCTAATAGTATATTCAAAGGTTGACGGGACTGACATTATAATCTGTTTTTATAGTCTCCGAAACGCAGTTATCCTTAATTTAACTCATTATGTTGTATACCAGGCAAGTGTGATATTGTAAAATGAAACAAGTATTTCATTTCTTGTTAATTTTGTATTTTGTTTCATTTCTGAAACAAGTGCATTCGTTTGTCTTCACTAATGAAAAAGGTGTAAAATTTAATTATGATATAAATTTCCAATTGAAATGTCATGAGATTAAAGATGTGGTTTTAGTTATGAAAGGTGTGTCATTACCTAGATGTGTGGAAGAATGCGGACTACGCCAACACTGTGCGTCTCTCAATTATAGAAGGCACGAGCATGTCTGCGAACTTTTTTCTTCCGCTGAAGAAGGGAATGGATATATGAAAGGTTGTTTATTCATTCCTGCAACAGATATAACAATCAAACAGGTAATATCTTTTACATTTCCTCAACATGTTTTTTTTCTTATTTTTGTGGCAGAAATTTTACAGAATCAATCATTGCCTTTATTGCGTTTTGATACATCATCATACCATTTTCTGATCGGAAGTTATCGTAAATTTAATACAAAGTAATCTTTTGACAAATCAAAAACTAGAGTGAGTTTGATTTTCTCTGCTGCTTATTTCTAGGCAGACAATGAATTTAGACACATTGTAATGTTGCATAATAATCATTTTGTCCCATCTAATTATTTGTAATGTTTTGAATTTATGTTAATATTTCATTTAAAGAGTTGTGTGTTCCAAAAGCTCGAACATTCTTTATAAATTTTAATTAAGATATTCCTTATAAACGATAAAAAATAAACAAATAAACAACAGCTCTTTGACATTGTTCATGATTTAAAAAAAATAAACAACAGCAGCAGCAGCAGCAACAACAACAATAACCACCAAAACAACAACAACAACAACAACCAAAACGTCTTGCAAAAGATTAAGATGGCCTCCAATAAGTGAGATTATGATGTGTAAGTTGACTGATTTTAATTCGATTAAATTGACGTTTTAACATAAATCAATTTATTTTACACAAAGATAAAAAACGCCTTTTTCGCCAAACCATTTCTCGATATGCTCGAAGTTTTGTCTAGGCGAAATGTATCTTCTCGTCTTTTGTAAAACATTCGTCTTTTGAAAAAAAAACTCCTAGTAAAAAAACTTCAAGCATTTAGAGAAAAGTGTCTAAAACTGTCAAAAAAATGTTCTTGTCTTTGTGAGAAAAAGAAACAAACAATAAATTTTTTGTGTTAAAAACATTTAATCAAATCGAACAAAAATCCGTCGTCTTACACATCATGGTCGCACTAAATAGAGGCCATTTAACGTTTCCGTATGTTTCAAATATACTTTTGTTTGATATATTGTTATGACATGCAATTTGTCATAATGTTTCAAATATTTTGTATGCTTTGATTGTGTACTTCTAATGTTATACTTTTGAAATATCTTCCTCTGGATAAATAGAAGGATTCCACGTGATGCAAAGAAAATTCTTTTTTTTGTGTCGGAATCAAAGACATGCATTTAAACAGATTGTCCTTATTACTTGGTCTCTTCCATGATATTTAGCGATCAATTTGTACTATTCTTGTGTCATTGTTTAAATGTTTAAATCTTGTTGTATCAGGTTGTTTAATCAGATGTCTATGTTTTTTGTTTTATTTTCACTGCAATAGAAATCAAAACGGTTTTGCAATTGTCCTGCTCAAATCAAAGTGGTGCAAATAGATATATCACTTTTATGTGTGTAAAGGTATTTGAAATTTCATCGATTTGTGACAATAATGAATTATTTAGATTATTACAATTACGTTAGTTATATGAAATTTGCTGTAAGTAAAAGATTATTTTTACTTTTTGTAAAGACTCGTCGGAGAGGAGTCATGAGTATAAGCAACTGCCATTTTATGACCTTTTTATTTAGACAAAAGTTTTCTTGGTATGAGTTAATTTGTCTTTTGTATGTTTTGTTACTACTTGGTATTTTCCATTTCACCATTTATAGTTGTAATTGTAATATTATCTAATTTTTAATATTTTTGTTATCATGTGTTAGTGGATTACCTTGCCTAATTATCTTACTATTTTCATTAGTTTAGTTTACTCTATACTAATTTATTTTAGTTCGATTGTGTCGGAAGTTATAATTAAAGTTTATTGAAACACTTTCGGACTCGTTCCTGGACCCAACCAGTACCAAGCAATGAGTGTATGTTTCTTGCTCAAAGAAAACAACAGTTTTGAAGTCACGCGTTCAGCAATCATTAGACCACACCGCTTACTAGGTCTCATACCAAAAGTCAACCTGTCTTTATTATCTTCGTGTTTTTTTTGTATATAATCAACTTTAAGCATTCAAAAGGAAAATAAAGAAAACGGTTTGTACCCCCTTCCCCTCCAAAAATAGAAAAGAAAGAAGATAAGGTGATAATAAATATTTAAATGAAAATGACAGTAGCGACGATGAAGGAGGCAGTGAAGAAAAACAACACAATCTGTGTCTGTAATTCACTTTATTTCTTATAACGATTTATTATTATATACCTGTATGTTTTTTTTCTACATTTCATGCATGCAGAACTACATTACACGTTATTGTTGTACATTACATGTAGTTTAGAAATCGACAAGGTGTGTAATGAAAGGGTTGTTAAAGTTGAGTCTTGATCTTATGGACCTTTCCGGTGTTTACAGTTTTATGTAAATTGACTAACTTGTTATCCAATCGCTACACTGAGATAATACATAGTCACTGGTTGACCTGGTTTGCACAAAAGAGCACGTGCTTATGTTTGTGATACTGTTTGTGAGCAGTTGACCTAGCAATGAATGGAAAATGTGTGGCTAAATGTTCCGCTACGAAAAACTGGAAAGGTCCATACCCGTGCACAGTAGCATAATAAACTCCCATCGAGTCAAATACAAGTTCCAGATCACGATTGTCTTATCATAACCCTATACATTATATCGGCAAAAGCTTAAATAACACTGATGCAAGTAGTAAATTAGGTAATTTTGTTTCAAACCTCTGTAATGCTACATCTTTAATAAAATCATAAAATATATTTCTTTTTTCAACACTTTTGTTGTTTTCAGAAAACCTATGTTTGCTTTTATGTTTTGTTTCGTAACAGTTGTAAACTTAATCAATTTTAATATATCTTTCAATCGCATCAGACTTTATCATACTGACCATGGGATATGATTTTGTGTCCGCTTTGGATACAAGCAAAGAAGTCACGTTTATAGCAAATCAACTGCCGTCATACGTGAAAGGAAAATAATAGAAGTCAAGATAAGATTATTAGATTGTTTATACATATTTTGTTTCAGCTCAGTCATTATCTATTTCTTTTTTGTTTTCTTTTTCTTTCAATTAATCATTTTCAAAAGAAAGTAACATATTCTCTCTCTCTCTCTCTTTGCTTTAGGATCCTTGTGCAAACCAAGACTGCTCAAATGAACGAACTTGTGATACTTCCACAGGGACATGCATGCACAAAGGTAAGTTCCAAATATTTAGCTAGGACACACATAACGGATATTATTATAAAGGGTTTTCTAGCAACACTCTTCATAAAGTATATCAGTTGAAGGTATTTACGATATTAAAGATTTTTTTAGATATTTGACAATACCTTCATCTTATTTAAGGATTTATGATATAGAATCTACTGAATGGCTGGACCAGTTCAAGCACTATAAATCTTTATTTATTATATATTATGTGAATTGTTTTCTCTCCTAGGACTATATTTCATTAGAATTGATTGCCACTGAACATTGAGTGGTGTCAAATCTGACTTGGAATATAATTTTCTGTCTGGAATGATTAAAAAAATATTTTATCTTCTTTTAGAACACCTGTTTTTTTCTATATAGTTTTCCTACCATTTTTTGGCATACAAACATGGACAACGTACCCACAATCTTTATAAGCAGTTAAAGCGCTTTATGTCAAGGTTGCAAAGGTTTTTGTTTAACGTTGTGAAAAAAATTCAAACATCTCTGTACATTACGACTGCCATCAATAATTATAAAATTACTCAAGTAATGCCAATAACATTGAAATATCAAATCAATTGAAGTTTCAAAATATCAATTTATGAAGTTCTTTTATTCACTCCCCTACAAAAGATGCTCATTATTAGCTGAAAATTATAAGCAAATCATCTGGTACTAGTTGAGACGATAGTGATAAAGGTTAGTCGTAAATATCTTTTTTTGCTCGAATGGTGAATCAACAGTCTATTTTCAATCATTAGTCCAGATGGTATAGTTTGATGTCCTTACAAATAAATTATACCAATATATTCTTCATATTTAAATTAACGTCTTAAATGACTATCTGAGGACAATTGATTTCTAGTAGTTTCATTACTATTACAACTTGTTTCATGTATATGGCATCAGAATGTGCGGATGATGTGGTTTTGTTGAACGGAGAAATTCTTGGAAATATGAAACAAGTTGGCGGAAAGATAAAATATACCTGTAACAGCGGACTGAATGTACGTGATAACAAGGAATACGCTGAATGTTTGGCGAATGGTCAGTGGAGCCAGACAGCAGAATGTATATCAGGTAAAAGCATCTAAAATTCAGGGTAAAGAATAAAACATCAATTCCCAAATAAAGCAGCTCAATTAAAGCAGCTCCGAAAGTCTAAAATAATAAGATTTGAAAATCTTACATAGATCAACAGGGGCACTTTAAACGGACACGTATAACATAGCAATATATTCAAAATTTAATAAAAACGGTTTTTGATTCTTAATCCATTTCTATGTTAATAAAAGAGCATTGAACCCTATAGAGTAGTTGATTGATAATATGTTATGTTATTTATTTATCTTTGTTATTAACAAAGCTTGCGGCGAAGTACCAACCATAGGCAATGGGAATATTATCCTAGACACAGCGGACATAAACAAGGCGTTAATAACCTGTGATCCGGGGTTCCAGGCGAATCCGTCTAGTACGATCTTTTGTGTACAGGGATCCAGCACCTGGGGAGACCCGTCCTGTGAACCTATTGGTACTGTAACTACCTTCTGTTTTCTCTGATCGTCACTTATATAAAAAGCGTCATTTCGATAGAAAATAAATCAAACATCCCCTTCTATTAAAAATGTACCAGTGCTACATAGAATCCATGATAAAGACAATTCCTTTATGCGAAAACATGTTTTTATATGATCAATAAGTTTGCTAAACTTGGAAAAGAAACTTTTTAATATCACATTGTATCCCCCCTCCTAGTGATTATTGATAAAACAACAAGCAAACTGTACGCGCGTTGCAAATCATGTTCTATTCCTATTTCCGTGTTTTTCTGTACGAAATATTCTGTGGTCATGGTATTATTTTAACAATAGGTTTATCTCTTAGATTTGGTTTGCTAAATTGCTAATCATGGTCATGCAACTAAATAGTTAGGTGAAGAAGCAGGCGCTTATTTTGGTTGAGTCTATTATGTTTTGTTTAGGGGGTTGAGTTGTCATACACAAATTTACAATTTATATGCATTTATTTTTTTCCAATGATTGTTATTATCTAAAATGCTTCTGGGATTGTTGTTTTATCAATTCATTTGTAAATAAGATTGTTATTTGTCTATTTACGGAATAATTTTAATGAACACGAAATTAGTTCACACCTACATTTGTACATGTGTATTGGTAACGTGATTGTTTAAGCCAATGAAAACACGTCAATATTATTATACTCAGGAAGAGAAAAAGTGTGCAAAGAGTAAATCGATAATCTTTATGTAGCCAGCAAATTTTGAATTGCAAGCAGGATAAACTGTCCGAGGATTCGTATCGTAAAATGGCTGCCATTTACAGTATCAAGTGATTATCCCGAGCACCACCGCGACTTTGCGCGGGAATTTTAATTATAGCTAACCTCGGCGCTTATACCTTTTTCATATTTTATTGTAATAAATATTTACAAACTGTGTCTTTCGGTTTTTTTTATCAATATATAACCAATAATGATGTTAATATGAATAAATAATCATATCTCTATTCTTTGACTATGATTTACAATGAAATTCTACCTTAAGTGTATTAAAAAGGTTTTTAATTTCCTGTAATTTTATATGCTTCAAAGCAGTCAATCGACCGTGAATTTTTTTTTCATATTTTGATTTCCTTGAAATCATTTTTCTCATCTGAAGGCATGCAACTTTAATATGGTGATACATTAATTACATTCCATGAAAATGTTTAAAGATATATAATATCTCATGACATGTTTGTTCATTTTACATTACACCTTTAATTCAGCAAACATAAAGTCTTAACAAAAAGTAGTATGCAATCGTACCTATATTACATACGAATATATGTTATACATTGTATTTTTCTTGTTTCAGTTTGTGGCAATCCTGATCCAATAAGCAATGGTTACATTGCACTCACTGTACCTGGCAGCTATAAGTATCTAGATACAGCAGACGTGACTTGCTCATCAGGGTACCAGCCAAATGTAAATCTTATAACTTGCAAATTTGACGGGGACTGGGAAACAGCAAGTTGTGACCGTATATGTAAGCAAGCGCTGTTTTCGTATTTGTAGATTTTTATATTACCAAATAACGTCCTTCTTCTGTTCTGAAATGATGGTTAAAGAATTGATAAAACCTAGCGCTGTGTACATCAATATTCGTTTATTTAGTCATATTGTCAACACCTATAAAAATTTAGTTTTTAGTTTGAGGTTATGAATGTAAAATAAAAAAATGTTTCTGATGATGTAATTGAAGTTTGATTCACGGAACCAAGAGAATTTACCTGAAAACTCATCTCTTTTGCAAACTTTTATTTAGGTACAAGTCGAGTGTTTGGATGAACATATGTTCATGGATGTTTACGTTCGATTTTAAACAAATCATTGATTAAGAATAACATGTATACATGCCGAATAATTTAAAATGTTTGGTGAAATGGATTTCTTATATTTCGACAATAAGTTTCAAATAGAAAGATATGATACGTTATTTAATGTTCAAAAGCTGTTAGTAATCTAATTTCTTCAATTTCCAATCAACATCCTATATATGGATACATGTTATGCATGTTCTTTAAATATCAATCTAACGCTTACCACTGTTTAATTTGATAAGTTAAGTTAAATATATATATATATAAACTCGTATGTTTCAAAAGCGTGCGGAAGCCTGCCGACAATAACACATGGAGTCGCTACTCTATCTGTACCGGGAGCCAGCCGGTACCAGGATAATGCTGTAGTCACGTGTGATGCCTGGTTCCAAACAAGCACTAGTCTAATTAAATGCACAGCGTCTGGAAGCTGGACTTCAACAAGTTGTACTGGTTTGTTTATTTTTTAACCTTTAAAATGACATACATAAGGAATGATGACGAATAGCGATGTAAAGTTACTGTCTCATTTATGATTTGAGCAAAGCAACTGTTTTTAGTTTGTTTTACTTGGTTTTGCGGCCCAGCAACACAATTTTGGTCGTATGTCTCGAAAATATGAACTTGGCTTACCTTGGGTATTACAAACTTAATACTAAGTGTCAAAACCACCTCACCAGCAAGAGGTAGAAGATTCATAGAATCCAGTATTTCGAACCTATTGGGTCACGCACGGATAAACGTAAAGTTAACTAGAACATATAAACACTCTTTTAAGACGTGCCTTCGTTACCATTATATATATCAAATTATAACCTATAGTTGAAATATTCATTGTGTAATTTTCTGTAATGTTACTATTCATTTTATGTTATTTGCTATGGTTTCAATACGATAGTGACATCAATAGAAATATATGTACAAACCTTCGAATATTATTGTTTTCCAGGTAGTTAAGCTTTTATATCAGTATTTTGTGAAAACTAGTAAATTCAAGCAGTTTACATCAATTTAAAATCTGATTGAAGAAATGTTCACATAAAAATCATAAAAATAATTTTATATATATACATAAATTAAAGATTATTTGGAGAGCAGGTCAAATTTGATTCAAAGCTTTCATAAAAATCAAAATTAAAGAAATATCTGAGATTTTCAATATTAACACATCTAATTTACATTTTACAGATGTTATGTGCTACCCAGGTACACCTTCGAAATATCAAGGACAAGTAAGTGTTACAGTCTCCGGTAAAACGTGTCAGCGATGGGATCAAAATACACCGCATAACGTAGATGTAACATATCTTCAATATTTTCCAGGGAACACACTGTCTGACGCCAGTAATTATTGTAGAAATCCCACAGCAGGATCAGACAATCCATGGTGTTACACAACAGATCCATCGGAACCATGGGAATATTGCGCTGTGGTTCCTTGATAAAAAGCACATGAAACAACAGAAATGATTACGCTTTTCTTTCTTCTGAGGCAAAAGAAATAAAATGGTTTTCAATTTTTTAGTACTAGATTAAGAAAGAACCAGTTTGATGATTAAACGCTTAAAAGAAGAATTCGATGTCAAATCTCCTATCAATATGCCAGTGACTTTACCTTGGCATGTTTTGTTTAAAAAGGTTACATATATAAAAAATGGATTATTTGACATAAAAAGAGTTCCAGATTTATCAATTTGAAATAGATAAATTGTATAAGCAAAACACAAGGAACATTTAAACAGGTATACACCTCCGTCCAATTTGATCAACGTTCTTTTTGTATCATCTTTAACAATTGTGGTATACGTGTATTTTGTTTTTATAACATTGCGATATTACTGTGCATATATCTTGCTATTAATATTTTTTGTTATTTTATTACAGTAGTGTAATGATAACCTGTAATAATAACAATTTGGGGAAAAAAAATTGAAAAAATTTCCGGGTGTTTAAAAAAATTTTTTTGGTTTTTATCTTTTTACATCCTAAAAAAAGGGAAAATCCTTAAAAAATAATTTAATAGTTTTAAAAAAAATGTAATCTGGACCCTGAGTTGTGAACCAAAATTCAAATTTTGAATATAAAAGGCAGATCCATTGTTTAAATTTAAAGGCAAACAAAAAAAAAGGAGATTTAAAAAACAACTTTATTAATTTGTTTCTTTTTTTCATGTTTTTCGGAGAAAATCCCTTGGGGAATTTTACGAACCCCCTTGCCCCACCGGCCAAATTTTTTCCCTCAGTAAGGATGGGGAAACAAAAGCTGCAAAGGGAGCGAAAAATTGCGCCCATAAAAAATTTTTTCAAATCTGCATTCTTTTGTTAAATTTGCTTCGGATTATTTATGGCTATACTATTTAAGATCATGTTTCTCAATTATTGATGGTTTTACATCCTAAGTATAATGCTCAAATGAAGATTTATCAATACATGTATTGTAAGTTCCAAAAAGAATTATTTGAAAAGATATTACCAAATTAACATTTCGTGACAGCAAAGGGAGGTAATTATTTTCTAGAAATTCTAAGTATTTTTTTAATAAGAAATGAATGCTTATATTTTAATGATTACATATAATGGGCACAATGTTTGCAGTACATATTTTACATATTCTTCGGTGTTTGAAAATTGTTTGAGAAGCATAATTTAATACAAATATAAAATTTCACTGATGTGTGGTAACAACCTTAATAATTACAGCATACAGAATCTTTATATTGGAGCTATAACTATATTGATTTGACTTCATTTATCTGAAGGGATCTCCCCTTTACGCAATGGGAATATTAAATTTATGACCCTTCATTTTTAATTCCCAGATTTCGTCTGCAAAAAGGTTAACAAAATATGTTTAGTAATTAAAAAATTTTAAAATTTAATGAAATTTTAAAATAAATTGTAAATCAAAGATTTTTAGTTTCCCTTTAATATTAATTTTTAAATTTAACTTATTTTAAACCCTTTATATTTCATTTTTGGATCTGAAGATGCTTTTGAAGTAGGTAACAATTTTAAATTGAGGGCTGGGGACTATATCCATCCGCAATAAACTTTGCTCGATTGAAAAATGCCTTATTAGTTTTTTTCCACTGGGTACGATAAAAGAAAATATATCCTTAAAACTGATAAAATAAAAAACATACAACCATAATAAGAAATATGTTTAGGGTAAGATTAGGTATAGGAAAGGTCTAATGAAAACTCTATAACACATATTTGAAAAAACGGTTGTTCGTGCTAGCATATTGTTTGAGTTGTTGCATTTCTGTTTTTTTGCAGATTTGCTCTTCTAAAAGCGTCATATTCAAAAATACATATACAAAATGATTTTTTAAGCCAAGTTTCTACAGCATTCCTTGCTGGTTCACCGAACAGAAGGGGTGATTAGTACCAGTATAGAAGAGACCCATGCAGGACCAGGCTATATTGTTGCTGGTCAGGTTTTGGTTTTTTAATACTGAAATTCTTCCTTAGACGGCTACTTAAATAATCAAGAGTCAAGGCAATCCCAAAACATTGAGGAAAAAAGGGTGATCTCCCGAAGGTAGTGAAAACAACAATATAAAATTAAAATGATCACGATATTTAAACATTAATCGATTAAGTCTGTTTTGAGAGATTATGTAAAAGGCCAACATCTCTCCTCAGCCAAATAGCACCTGCATAAACGTATTTAATATTCAAACCAAGATGCTGTTATCACTGAATACCCGAGGGGACAATCCGGGAAACATTTTTACAACTGCCACACGACAATGAACATCTCTAGTTTAGGAGTAAGAAAATCTTGGAAAAATGATCCATCGGAAGCAACGAAAACAACAATATAAATGCATATGATAATTTCTGGTTTGTTAGAGTCTGTACCTGGGAAACTATGTATAAGATGGCTTGATAGAATCCTCACATGGAAGATTCATATCTCTTGCAGAACCCAAACACACAGTAATGAATGACAAGAGGGCCATGATGACTCTGAGTCGCTCACCAGAAACAATTGCTTTTCAGTGTTGGAATATCAATATAATCTAATATTAAATTTAAGCATAGAATATGCTTTAGCTTAAACGGGGCTAATCAAATTAATAAGAGCAAAACTTGATAAAAAGACTACCTAAGAATGCTACAGAGTTTGGGATCATCTATCAATTATTTCAGTAGGAAATGATTGTTCGAAGGTTTCTTTTCTATTTTTAGCTTTAGTGGCCCTTTAAAAGGGGGCTAATAAATTAATTGAGGCAAACTTGATTAAAAGAAATACCCAAGAATGCTGCAGACAATGTTTTGGTTTTATCATCCATTCATTGCGTTTTCTGAAGTAGAAGAATGTTTAAAGGTTTTTCTACTTTTTTTTAGCTTTAGCGGGCCCTTAAAGGGGCCAATCAAATTAATGTGAGCAAACTGGAAAAAGGGATTACCCAAAAGAATGCTACTACAAAGTCTGGTGATTCACTTCATCAATTAGTTCTGTAGCAATAGACATTTAAAATGTATATTTATTTTTAAATTTTACCCGGCCCTTTAAAAAGGATTAATCAAAAAAAATAAAACCCAAACTTGAAAAAAGGATTTAACTAAAAATTTTACAGCCCTTTTTGGGATGCCCCCTTTCCAAAAGGTTCTTTTTAAAAAAAAAATTTTTAAAGGTCCCTTTTTTTTTAAGTTTAAAGGGGCCCCCTAAAATTTCCCAATCAAATTAAATTTGGCAAATTTGGATTAAAAGATTTCCCAAAAATAAACAGCCCTTTTTGGTTCATCCTCAATTAGTTTTTGTAGAAAAAATATATCAAAGATTTTTCTTTTTTAAAGCTATAGAGCCCCCAAAAGGGGCTTATAAAATTAAAAAAAGAAAACTTATAAAAGACTCCCCAAAATGCAAAACGAAAATTTTTGGGGGTGAGATATTTTTTTTTGTAAAAAAACATTTTAAGGTTTTTTCAAAGGTTTAAGCTTCAGGGGCCCCCTAAAGGGGGCCAAAAAAAATATTTAGCAACTTAAAAAAAAGTTTCCCCAAAAAAATGCTACGAAAAATTTTTTGGTGATCCCTAGAGCCCCAAAAAGGGGCCCAATAAAATTAATAGGAAAACTTGAAAAAAGGACTCCCAAAAATTTGGCGCAGGCAAATTTTTGGTGTCATCCTAAAATTTCCAATTGGGGTTGTCAAAAAAGGATTTTTAAAAGTTTTTTTTCTTTTTTTAGTTGCTGCCCCCTAAAAGGGGGCCAATTAAAATGAAAATAAATTTTAAATTCCGGGGTAAATGTAAAGGTCAAAAGCCCAAATTTTTTGGAAAGAAAAATTGTTTTAAGTATTTCCCCGAGAAGAAAAACGATTTTTTACGCATGGGGCCGGAAACGACGGACCCACCCCCTGTGATACAAATAGCTCCCCCGGAGCCGGCTTGGTGACTAAAGAAAAAAAACCCTAAAATTTAAACCCAAATCAGTTGAAGAAACAGAAAAAAATGACACCCTTAAACCCCAGATTAAAAATGGGCCCTTTTTTAAAAAGGAAAATTTGGATCCCTTCTTTTTAAGTAAAATTACTCGTTCATTAAGGAACTTTTTCTAACATTAAATTGAGAAAATTCAAAAACCCTTTTTTAAAATTTTTGACAAAAATAAAAACATTTTAACAAATCCCCATACATTTTTTAAATGGAACAGCATTTTTACCTTTTTTATATATTACTAAATAAAAATTGCTAAAATTTAAAACTTGCAAATAAAATATTTTTTAAAAACCAATTTGATTTTTCCAATTGGGGGTTTTTGAAAATTAAAAAAACCAAAATTTTTAAGATGTAAAATATGTTTGTCTTTTGGGTCTGTCTGTATTTCAGCCCGTCATACAGTCAGAAATCTTTTAGTTCGTAAAAAAAATGTTCACAGAACATAACATCTACTAATTAAAATCTTTTAAGACAAATAATGCAAGTTATCAATGAAATCTTATAATAATGTAACACAGTCAAAGTAAAATATTTTTTATCGACAAATAAATGCTAAGTGAATGCAATTAATAAAAGTTCGTCGACAAATCATTTAAGTTAATATTCAAGAAATTGAAAAATTAAAAGAAATATGAAAAAGCAGCAACAACTTAAATAGATGAAATTTAACAAAAATTAACACAAAGTATCTACAATGTATAGTATTTAAGCGAATATAAAAGGCCACAAACTTTAACACCGATGAATAGTAAGTATACATTATATTCTTAGCAGTTAAACATATCTGTAAATGCAAATTATAATAGAAATAACATCGGCCACATTAAATGAAATATTAAGTGCAAAACATTCACCTAGCGATATTACATATTTGTCTAATAACATTAAAAAATTTGTAATCGATTTACAATAACTAGAATGCTTGCAAATCCGAGTGATTAAGCTGGATAGCAACAAGTTAAAGAATTTTTATAGCGCATTTTCATTTAACTC